TCGGGCTAAGCATCTTTGATAAATTGTGTTGAACAATCCAGCTTAATCCCCGGATTTTGAGGGATTGCTGTGATTTTTCATTAAACTAGCGACAGATTGGAGAGGATTATAATGCAATTTGTATCTCGGCCGCGGGATCAGCTCGCGCTGATAATCGACGAAACACGAAGTATCGATGATTCCGGTTTATAGAAGCGTCGACGTGTCGTTAGCGATGGCGCGAACGCTCTCGCGCGAGCTGGATTGCCTCGGCGCTCATCTGTTACAATATTGCTTCACAATTCGGATCAGCATCTAGCAAGTGGCGCGAATTCAAATCAGGCTCAAGTCAGCTCGGGTTGTCGAAGGTCATCCCCGGGATTTCCCTCTCTCACGGGCGAATGCGGCGCGTGGCGCGAACCACGTGAATTTTTTCACTATTCGGACATCCGGCGGAACGTGGAAAACTCGTGGAATCCCGGTATGATCGGGTTGCTTGAACAATGCGACGTTTCGACGTTCGTCGAGAGCTGCCGCTACTTATCGCTTCGCGCGCGCGCTGACATCGGTGTAAAATTATCGTTCAACGAAAACCAACAAGCGGGGGTATTATTCGAGCCAATCGAACGCGCGGCTCAATCGATCGCGAATTTACACAAGGCTGTTACTTCGCGATAATAATTTCCAATCGCCCTCCTCCTCCCTAGTGGGAAAAGGAGAAAAACAAGGAGTACGCGAAAGGATAGATGCGCGGCGGGGCAGCGGGGGGGGGGGGGGGGGGGTTTGATCGATTCTCCGGCGGACGATTACAAATTATAAAAGTCGAGCGAAGCTTTACATCATCGTTAATTCCTCCGCGGACTTATTATGTTTCGTTATTACGGCGTTCCTCCGGCGCGCTTCTCGGGAGATTATAGCCGCGTCGTTTGAGTGTGCAACCGATTTAATTACTTCTCCGAATCGGAAAAAAAGGAAATACATGCTCCAATGCTCCGAGTGAGGAAGGCTGAAATGCAATTGTGAACTTTTCTCTTGCATAATGAGACTCTTTAGTTCCCTTTTCCCCGAGCGATCGAATGCTCAGGGCGTCCTTTTCTTTAACCTTTTCTTCGGATATCGGGAGGGGGTGGGTCGAGACGACCCCAGTGCGACGACCACGTTACGTGCAATTCGATGTGATCTTACGCGGAATCCCGGTCGATATTCCGATTCTCCAAGTTACGATAGAACCGAACCGGGATGATTCTCGATTGAAAAGGGGAAAAAAGTGCGTGGGAAAATAAATTTCTACGCGAAAAAACGAGGACAATGGCATTTCCCAGGGCGCATTGTCACGCGGGAAAAAGGAAGGCGGCCGCGTTGTAACGGGTCGCATGATGCCGTGCAATTTCGTCGTTTGTATCTCGCCTCTTTTCAACGGAAAATACAGGTGTATACGAAAACTGTTGCCTGCTATCAACTACAAAGCGCGTGCGCGAATAGAGAAGCGATTTCGAAATGAAAACAAAGTTGTGAATATATTTTAATGGCGTGCGCCTTTAACTAAAAGCTGTGCAAAACATTGCCGGTCTGTGAAAGCGGATGGACGGGAACCATGCGTGTCGCGCTCACTAATGGTGCAAGCATACGTATCGTGAATTGAAACTCGCGATACCATAGATATAAATAGAAACTGCCATTTCAAGTCCGGCTACTTCACAGTCAAGAAACACAAATGTCGATTTATTTGCGTCAGTTCTCGCGGTTTTTCTCGATTCGAGCGAATAAAGGTTAGAAATACCTTATCAATTGTGCTCAACTGAGATCGCGGGTGACATTTTATCGACCCATCCTTTGATTTCAACGTATTTCGCAGGAATTTCGAGCATGCGTTTTACCGTCTATGACGTCATAGATAAAGCGCAGCGAGGGACCGGGAAGCCATATGATGAGGGTCGATTTCTCACTCATATTTATCGATTAAATCACTTTCGCAAAACCGGCGACTCGCGGCAACTACGGTTTCTACTTCACTGGAATGTTTTTCGCGATGCCGAGCGTAATCGATAGTCACGCTCCGGCTTAATCGTGAAAAGTGATCGAATCGTCTGACCTCCCAGCGATTCAATCCACGTGGAGACACGTAATCGATAGGCGAGACAATGGATTCCATCAACGAAGTACACTTCCCTTTTATCTGCAACGACACTTTCTTATTTCTCCGCGCATCGCCATCCTCCGTTTCACTCTCCCCCCCCCCCCCTGCCNTCCTCTATTTCCGCGCAGACAGGTATGATTTAGTTGGAGAACACAATAGCCTTTGGGCGCCGATGAAACTCAATTTCTTGGTGGTGTTAAACCCATATACTCTCCCGGTTATATATCGTAACCCTTTTTAGACAGCTTAGTGTGAGATTATTAATGTCCCTAAGGTCTTCCGGTTAGTCCGCCAGAAGATGTGCCTCGCGATTTCGTCTGATAAAGAAGCGCGCGAGCAAGATGGATGGTGTGAGATAAGAGGGAGAGGACTAAGAGTCCGAGAAAACCCGGTTGTCGTAAAGAGGATGAACCTGCCGCTCGCGAAAACGCGTGCTATCGTCCGTGTAATTAAACACAAGCGAGCGATTAATGCTGCCATTTGATAGCGCGGCAAGCGGCGTGAGAAAGATGCTGAAATTATTCGATAATTTATTTGTCGATTTTTCGAGTAAAAGAAAATTGCCCGTCCGAACACATTTACAAGTTTGTCGTATCGATCACAAATGTCATTTTAGGGATATATCTTTTTATTTGAAAATATAACGCAACGTTGCTCTAATGTTTCGCTAATATCCCCTCTCTCTCTCTCTCTCTCTCTCTAATATATTCTCTCTCAATCAGAACATAGTAAAAGGCAGCAGGAAAGTTACAATTCAACTGCGTTTTGCATGTTGCAACCTAAGTAGACGGGCTTTAAGGCAGGCTGTTTAAAATATCTAATATATCGCGCGACACCTTTTAAAAACTCCACTCCTTAAAATCGTATCCATGAGAATGAATACATAATAATGTTTGAAATAGAATATCGGTGCAAACAGCGAGAACGGGCTTGTACACCGTTTAAAACGCCCCATCTCCAAAAACGAAACCCCGAGCAAACCGCAAGGGAAACTTTCCATACGTTTCTTGACAACCACAGGCACCTGACAACCTGGCCCTCTAACTAATTGCTAATTTCAGACTAAGTCGAAGACAAGCACGACCATTCTTGTACTCGGGTTACTTTCGCGGAGGGTACCGGGGCGCGCTCCCTCGTCGACAAGAATGCGGCGGTCTACTATTCAGACCCGTGAATTTACCCGAGCACTTACCGCTCGTTATTCTTGCAAACGAATTTTTTTTCGTTGTTACACATCGCCTCACGCCCCAAAAGGGAGCGATTCGGGCTCGTTCGTTTGCTCATCTTGCTATTCTTGGCGAGAAAGTATTCTCCTCGTCCTCCTCCGTTAAATTCTCTCCCTAAATTAGTTTTGAGTCCTATTGTTTCCCCACGTTTATATACTTGCACCTTTCTAACCTTTCTCCAATTCTACCCTTAACTTGACTTAACTTTTATCCTTGCGTTGTTCCGATCTTCAATTATTTTTATCTTAATTTGTATCTTTGTGTAGCTTAACGTAATGTTTAAAAAGGAAAACATCGAAAGGACAGTTTTTCAGTCATAAAATTCGATCTTGAAATCTTGGTAAATCTGATTGAGAGGTATATTCCAAGTATATTCCAAGGTTGAGAAGTAATGTGTTTTTAATTCTGTTAACGTTACAAGTTACTTTTTTCTATCACAATTTGGTAACGACGTGTTGTTTCTTTACATTAGTAACGGTAACACAGTTACATTTTTGAGTAATAGTAGTAACGAATGGAATCATTACTTTTGTCGTTACTTTATACACGTTTGCGGTCGCGTAAAACTCTCTTCGCGTAGTATTTGGCGGCAATAATATGATTTGCTTCACAGAAGTTCACCAATATGGTAGTGGCCCACGACCCGACGGAGGAAAATGTGGAGGAGAATCTTGCAAATGTTCGTTAAGAACTTCGGGACCAACGTGCATCATGCGGCAGATACATTCGATCTCTCGCGGTACGCGGTGCATTGTTATTATTATATTTATAGTTGACTAGTTACTATTTATTATTATTATATACAAAGTGTTCGATAATTTTCTCGGCATCCGTGGCATGCAAGTAGAACAGATTAAACTGAACAGGAAATTCATTTCGCAAATAGTTAATGAGAAATTAATTAATCTACATAAGCTGATGAGCACGGGAATCGGTATATATATATATATATATATATATACATATATATATATAATAATATTACTTACCATTTCTTAAAAAGAAAAGGAAGGAGAAAAAGGGATTTCTTTTATATTTTAAAATACAATTTTTATATTTAGGTATGTGTTAAATAAGTCTCGTGTGGTTGTTCATTGATTACATCGCAAATACGTATCTTTAACACGTTGACAGCCACGGAACTTTTCACGATTCTGGTCTAAGAAGCCAATTTGATTTAATCAAGTAATGAAGCGACGAGATAACTCGTAGTTGGCGTCCTGGGCAAGTAAACAACCTACGAGATATCTCGTAGTTGGCAGTCAACGTGTTAAACTTAACTTTAAATTTAATAATACTAAATAAGTAAAAAGAGTGTCAAACATGAAATTTCTATTAATTATATTTGGCTTTTAAAAAAATTTTTAAATATGAGAATTCTAAACTTTTATTTTACAATGTAGCTTTCCTTAAATATGTTGTTTCTCTAACGCCAAGAATATTAGAGTAATACAAAGATTGACTGACAAATTTTATTTATATTCTAATGAACAGGTTATATTTCTATTAGAAAAACCTAAGCGTCTCTTTATAAAGTCTAACTTCTTTTTTAATTTAATACTAAGATACATATAAAAGAAAGAGAGCGAGAAGAGAGAAAAAAGAAAAGAGAAGAGAGAGGGAGAAGAAAGGGGGAAAGAGAGAGAGAGAGAGAGAGAGAGAGAGAGAGAGAGAGAGAGAGAGAAAGAGAGAGAGAGAGAGAATTATTTTAACTTAAAATATTTATCATTAGATGCAATTTTAGTAGTATTTAACTTCATGAAATAAATTATATACAATTCATAGTATTTATCAATATGTAATGGATATAATATATCAACTAATTGTTCCTAAACTTGACAAAAACAAACAAAATTATGAATTCAAAATATAATCAGACAATATGCTTACCTAAAAACAGTTTTATCGCATACATGCATACACTTGTATATATCAGTTTAATTACATAGCAAAATATTACATGTCGTGTGTATAGTAGAACCCATACATTAAATTCACCCTGAAACTGAAGAAATTCTTTCGAAAAGGATTTCCTTACTTAACATTGAAATTTTTCGATTTTTCTCTTCGCATTTTTTCAAACCTTAAGTCTCAAAAATATGTACTTAAAGCGGTTTGATGATATTTCAAAAATTAGCGAAGTTATAAATATTTAAATCGAGCGGCGCGTGGAATGCAGGTCATTTTTGTTACAAATTCCGCTATTTTGTTATTTACGTTTTTGACAACTATTGATGTAGGATTGACGATAGCTACAGTTATATAGAATAAGATGCAATCTTATTTATCCGTTTCAGACCATTTTGAAAAACAATTATGGACTCTATTATTTTTTTAATTTCCTTGTTTTCAACATAATATCATTACTATTATTAATTACAAACTTCTGAAAATTTAAGAACATTTTTTAAACATCAATAAACAACGTGCAAAAAGATTACGTGAACCTTTCCATTTCCGCAAAAAAGTTCACGGAATATGTTCATTTTTCTTACACCGAATGAGGAAACCCGCTTAATGTCGTAATACATGAGTCAGCGATCTTCATCATAGTTATTTTCAACTATTTTCGCGCGACGAATAGTTATATCCGAAACGTTTCTTGCTTTTTCAATAATTTTCATTTTGTCCCTTATTACTAATATCCCTACTCTATTTTTTCCGAAATTTAAATGTAAACAATGTTTCCTTTTATCGATGTAACTTGTCTTTTTGTCATCTATTTATTAAATCTGTTCCTTCCTCCATTCGCCGCCGCATTTCATCACATTGTCGCAGGGAAACTACAAATTCAACCTTCCTCTATTAGTATCCTTTTTTAACTTGTTAGTTTTCTTGCATTGTAAAACGCAACGCTTCCTTCCCGGCTGAAATATCGTCGGGATTCTCGATAGTGTTCCTTAAAATAAACGCACGTTGTCGTTACTTCATCTCCCGAGATCAATTATTCAACTATACCTTCATAAGAACGCGCTGCTTAGTGACTTCCTTTTAATAGCTCCATTTCACGATCAATAGTCAAGTTCTCGATAATCTTTGCGAAGGGTTTCACTTTTAATTTACCAATATTCTCATTCTCTACGTTAGGAATGCGCGTGGTTTCCTCGACAGCTGTTTTGGCAGTTGTCGGCCCAACTAAGGTGCTCTTGATATTATCATCGTCATCCTCCACAGTAATAACTTCGGGTGATTCTGATATTACTGTTCGTCCATTTGAGGAAATGCTCGCGTTACTGATCTTCTTCGTCTCTTTAAAATTCATGAAATACTTGTGAGGCGAATGGGAATATCGTAAATGTCTCTTGTATCTCTTCTCGTTAGTGCTGATATGTGGACACAATAGACATTCTATTGCAGGAATCTTCTCGGTCAATTGGTCCAATTGTGGATAAACCAAATCATTCCGGATTACATCCGAGTGAATATATCTTAGATGAGCGTGGAAATACATCAAAGACGGATACCGTAATGGACACAACGGACAAGTGTAATCAGTATTATTATTCACTGATACATGGTTCTGTAATTGCACCTCTTCGTTTCTAGGGATGGGCGCCACGGCAATTGGAATGTTCGATCCGGTGACTGGCTTCGATGGGACACTTGTAAAAGTTACTTTAGATTTCTTAGCGGACTCAGTTGACGAGAAGATCGAATGCCCATCTAACATTTGCTCTAACGATATATTAAAGGAATCAGATAAAAATTGCTTATGATGCTTCTTGGGGTTTGAGTGATTAGTTGATCCGGTGGATGTGCGAAATGGAGTGTCAGCTTTAGATTGATTATTCTGCTCTTTTTCCATCGTCGTGGATATAACGGCTTCAGATTCATTCGGAGCCGTTTGCTTATCAACATCAATTAGGAATAAAGCTTTGAGTTGATCTGGAGTTGGTTCAACGACAACTCGATCCTGCGTTTCCTGCGTAGTCGAAGTATTGTTCGGGCTTTTATCAGATTGCGGAAAAGATTGAGATAGATTTTTTCTAGACAGCAATACTTGGTCGACTAGCTGCGGAATGGATTTCTTCTGAATCTTATCGTCACTAACGACGGTGGGTAGTTCCGCCTTTGAAGCAATATGTTTAGCCAACAGCTTACCGAAATGAATTTGAATAATATGCGCCTGGATCATATCGAGAGAAAGAAACTTCATATCACAGTAAAAGCAACGATATATGTATTTCTCTTTAGTCTTACTGCTGGTAGGTTTACACTGATGCTCCTTATATTCAGTGCTTGAAAAAAATGTCTGGCTACAGTTCTTACAATTATTCGCATTATCGCAGGACACTAAGTTAACATGAAAATGTTTTTCATGACATTTCAGTGAAGTGACCGATGGCAATATTTCTTCACAGTTTGGACACATATATTCATTATAGACATCACGGCAGATATGGGTTAAGCTCTTGTGCTGATTAAGTAAATCGAGAGTTTTGCACCGTCTGCTACAGAGGTTACATTTAAAATCGCCATCGTTGGTGTAGAATAATTCGTGACTTTTCAAATCATCAGCATCCGTGCACTGTAATTGACAAATTTGGCAAATGAACTCAGGGGACAATAGTTCAACCTTTTTTTGTTGATTCGTAGACAAATCTATAACTTCCCCCTCTTCCTCCACGTTGATTACCGGCTGATTATTTTCTGCGCGCTGCCCCGCGATATCGGTTGAACTTTCTTTCTTGGAATGCACATGCATATTGTGTGAATAGAAATGTAATTCGTGATTGAAACCCTCATTGCATATGTTGCAAGTGTAAATGTAGGACTTGCGTTTATCCTCCGAGTAGTGAGTGAGCTTGTTATGATGATGATACATGTACATGCCTTGAAAATCTTTCAAGCAGATCGTGCATGTGAATTTGTGATCCTTGTAGTAATACATCGTATGTTCCACGTAACGATCAAGGGTCTCAAATGCCAAGTTACATACGGTGCACGTCGCATTTCCGTTATCCGGTTCTTCTTTTCCTTGATTATCGGGAAAATTGGGCATAATTGCTTCTAGCATCTGTCGGCCGTGCAGGTGCAACACGTGCGGCCGAAGCTCATATTTCTTTGTGAAACCTTGATTGCAAAACACACAGTGGAAATTATAGTTCCTCGATAGCTGTGGCACATGCGCCGCGGCGATGTGCGTTTGTAGGAAACGTTTTGAGCTGAATGCAGTATTACATAGCGGACAGAAAACATTGACGCGACTGTAACTGCGTATATGTTGTTCCAAGTTCTTCTTATTCTGAAATCGCTTCCCGCATATATCACATGGATACGTCTTACCTGATTCTGTGATTCTGTTCGGCTGTACACTTGCAATATTCTGGTCATTGATGATTGTGGGGTTATTAGTCTCCGGAAGCTTGATAAGCTCTTGTGATTTGTTGACAGATCTAACATTTTCCACGATGAAAATGGCTTTCCTACTAAAAGAGTCTTTCTCATTTTCGTTAATTCTCAGATCCTCTTCAATGATGCTCGAATCTTGAATGATGATTTCCGGCTCCTCTTCGTTACTTCTCAGCTCTTCATCAGTTGACGTTACTTGATTCTTGTTCGCATTTTCTAAAGGTTTATTATCTAGAAGTTCAGGTGAGGCATCATGTTGAATCCTTTCATCATGTTTAACTGTGCTTTCATGGGCGTCTTCTTTGTGATCAGCTTGAAGAATGACTTCTGAAGACACGTTCGCTTCCTTAGTAGGATTCTCCTGAACTTCTTTCACTTCCTTGTCAATTACGATCATGTTCGGACAATAACGACCATGTTCTGACCACAAGAAATATGACGAAAACTTTTCATCACATTTAATGCATTTGAAAGTCCCCTTAGTCGAGCATTTTATATCAATATTTATGGGATATTGATCGTTTTTATTTTGGAGATATTTCAAACAATGAAAATTTAAATGTTGTTTCAGCTCTGTAGAATCGAGTAATAATTCATTACAAACACAACACTCATTTAATTTAAATGTATGTTCGCGCAAGTAATGTTGAAGTAATTTGTGTTTCATCGTATATCGCGCATTGCATATACTTGACATATATGCTATATGATACGACTTAATGTGTGCACGTTTCATTAATTTTGTTGGAAAACTCTTCTTGCAGATTCCGCATGAAAAGCAATTATCCTGTGTCTCGGCGTCCTTTTCCAGTTCCGGGCTATCTTCATCTGCTTCAGTTTTTAAACGTTCCAAAGAAACCTCTAACTTTTTTAACACAACGTTATTGCTTGTACTACTCTTTTGAGATTGCGCAGACTTCGGCTCAGTAATTGTGGAGACTAATTTTTGTTCAGATGTAGTTTGAACTGTAGAAATGGGATCATGATTTTCCACTTTTTCATCACATCTCTTTAAAGTAATTGAGCAATCCTTGAAACTAGAATGATTTCTACTTGTTGAAGATCCTGAATTTACTTTGTCTAAACTAATTACATTCTGTTTCGTTTCAATACTGCTTTTTGAGTTAAGCGAAGATTTTCTAAGTAACTTACTGCCTAAATCTCCCGAAAACCGAATAGCCCGCATAGGCCGTAAACTATAGGGAATGCTATGCTCGTGTGACACTGTGCTATTTGTTTGATTTTCGGCTAGTTCACTTTTGATATTTGTATCTGCAAGACTTTCCAGAAAACACTTCATTGTTTCAACCTTTGCATGCAATTTTACAAAAGGTTCTTTGGTAGGACATTCTCCATGCTTTTCACTTTGCGCTAAAGTGGAAACATTTGTCACTTGTCCTAAATTATTATTGGATATTTTAGTTGAAGTATCAACTTGTCCATTGTGTACTGCCTCTTCTGAAAGCTTTGGTTTGCGATTTTCTCCTACTTGTTCATCATGACTCGAAGCACATGTAGAGGAACAACTACCTTCCGTGATATTTAACTTCTTTTGGTTAATCTTGACATCGTGTTTTCTTTTGCAAAATTCAATACATTCATTCAATGTTAGCTGTCGTAATTTTTTTCTAGGTGGCATTTCCTCATTGGATGGCTCCTCTTCAACTAATTTATCAATCTTCGTTGTGTCATCGAAACTATTTCGAGACTGTTTACAATTCTTATTAATAAGCATAGTACTTAATTCTTTTGGTTTATCAAAATTACTTGGACATGGCGTCTCTTCATGTAAGTCATTCCTCGAAGTATTATACTTACAAGATATACTTTCAGGGACGATTTTCGAATTTTTAGTTTCAGTTACATTATTCGGAGAGATTAATTCCATATGTAAGTGAAACAAATGAGATTGTAAGACGCCTTTTTTCTTAAACTGACGACTGCAATAATTACAGTGTAGTAAATCATGTTGGTGAGAATAATCATATTCTTTGCGACAGCTTGCAGAATGTGAGTATAATAGTCCTTGTGTTGGGAAATACTTTTTACAAGAACGGCACAGAAAATTTCCAATTTTCATAAAATATAGTCGATGCAGATTAAGGCTGCGATAGTTCTTGAATATCATGAAGCATATTTCACATTGGCGAATGTTTTTTTCTGCAGTGTTTATATGTTGTGTTTTAGTCGTAGTAACTGTTTTTGACGCGATGAGTCGCCTGTCCTTTTTTCTATTTAAATTTTGGATTTTTGTTTTAGATACATAGGTATGGTCATTGGTGACAATTTTATCGGAATATTTTGGTTTCTTTATAGTTATCGGCGAAGTATCACGCATAATTCTTGTAATTTTACGTTTTAAATTAATAATCTTGATTAGTTTAGTGCTATCTGAATCCTCGGAATAATCATCACGTACACACTTTTTTGTTTTATGGTTTACGTGTTTACGTTGTGTTTCGTTCTCGGATAATAATGATTTGTCACCTTCAAATAGTTTAGAATGACTCCTTAGAAGCTTATAATCGTTGGTAGCATTGATATCCATTACTGCATCGACAGGTTCTTCTTTAATCTTTATTCCATTCTGGATATCTATATTGGACTGAAAAAAAAAAACATATAAATTCAGTTTAACTCGCTCATTTCGCCTAGAAATACAACAGAATTTCTTGATTTTCAATAACGAAAAAAAAATTTTTATTTATATCCTATAAAATAACTACAAAAAATGTAGAACAGCTCTAAACTGAATTAAAATATATCCTAAAATTGAGTATTATTACTAAAATAGTGGAGCAATTAAACTGAGTAATTTTATAGCATGTACCCATAAATAAACACAGAATGGCTCACATTTTTTGTGTAAAGCTCCACTATTTTAGTAAAAGAAAACATCACATAAGAAGATTATTCAGATTAATGTTATATAAAGTTTCAAGGTAACTGATTATAATGTTGGATTTTTCAATTACGACCAATATTAAATCTGGGCAAGCCTAAAATTCTTTTTCATGAACTAACATCTTAATATGTTCACATACTATGTAATATAAATTTACATATTATATAAAAAAACTTTGATATCAGACATTGCTCAATTCTATCATCTGTTCATATCGTCTTCACAAATTATTCTCAAAACTAAAATATCTGATTCAAGGGAACAATTCGCCGGAAAAAAAAAGATTTTAGGAAAAATGTGTGAAACAAAATAAATTCTTGTTTTCACATGTAGAATTTAACATTCTCCTACTTCTACTGTTTATATACATACATACATTCTGTCAAATAAATACCGGGAATTGTTCAATAAAACACAAAATGTTGGTTTAATCATCCAAATTTATTTTGTCGCCTTCAAAATAAGTCTCATTTGATATGATAAACTTATGCCAACAAATAATCCAACTGTCGAAACACTTATAAGCACTTTCCGATATGGCCTGCAGCTCCTTCTGCGAATTTTGTTTTATGGCTTCAATGAACTCAAAACGTCTTCCACGAAATGGTAATTTGAGTTTGGGAAACAGGAAAAAGTCACACGGGGCCATAACTGGCGAATACGGTGCTTGGTCGATGACAATCGTTAAATTTTTGGTCAAAAATTCGCGTACAAGGGTGTAGTTTGACACACTCGGGCCGGACACCCTGTATATTACTTTATATATGTTAGGAATACTTGATTCATATAGCTAAATATTGATATTCAATTACTATGTTTCCATAAACTTGTTTTACTTTAAGCAAATATTCACAACTTTCGTTGACACAGATATGTTATAACTAATTATAACTAATTATAACTAATTATAACTAATTATAACTAAATATGTTATAACTAGTTATAACTAAGCTTGATGTAAGGAATGCCACGAGTAATGTATTTTGCATGTCAACTTCGTCAAAAATGTATAAATTCTTTTGGTTACAGGCGCAGATCACAGTTTAAATAAAATTTTTTGCTCTTGGTTATTTTTGACATTTAGTTTCCTCACCAGAAAAAAATTCTATATTTTCATCATCACTCTCACTTGAACTTGCAAAAGCTACTTTGAGCACTGTCATTTTATTTTTGTTTATTTTTATACTGTTATTTAGGGAAATTACAAAATCACTGCTTGTCAACTGCAAACTGACAATTTTTGCAGGTTATGAAAATATCTTATTCGAGATCATAAAATCGTACAACGGTTAAGTAATTCGTCAACATAATTGCTCTAAATTTAAGGGTCGAACAAAAAAGACCAATAATCATTGACTGCTCACTAATCGGTGTGTTTTCTGAACCTAGTTATTATTTCAATCTTCTTCTATAAAGCCCATATCAGACTACCAACTGTGACTCTTAATGGATTAATTACAATAAACTAGTTATTGACGCTTCACTATGATAGGTCCTTCAAGAGTTAACAGTCGTAATCGACAGTCGGGTCGGCCTTCACAGTCAACTGTTTGATGCGGGCTTAAAGTAGATTGACCAACTGAAACAAATAGTCTTTTCTTTTTAGTTGCACCAGTTCAGCAATGCAGCTAAAAAGAACAAACAAAACTGAAATTTGGTTTGTTGAAATCTAATTTCCAATCTCTAACCTGACACAGGCTTAACGCATAGGTCTATATTATTTCATTCATTTTATCGAAAAGTGAATTCAGAATATAGACCATAACATCATTTCAGATAATTTTTAGATGAGATATTTAGATGAGAAATTATTTAAATAACTTTATCTAGATATCGGCAAACATTGCTATAAGCAGATTCCACTTTTAACGTTCGCAACGACGCGAGCGTCATTCTATCTTTATTTAACATCCAGCGAGAAACAAACATACAGACGTCCTATATAGTTCAGTGGATATGGATGAATAGAAATGGGAAAAGAAAGGTTAGATTGGGTTAGGTTACATTTGTCGATGAAGAGCGGTATATGGAAAGGAGAAGGACACAGGGATGGAAGTAACGGTGTGGTCCTGTTACAGAAGAGCATCTGCCTGTAAGGCGAACTCAACAAAGGGGACCCTTTAGTTACTCCTAGTGGTGATTCCGAGACTACTGTATCCTTATTGCCAGAGAACAGGTTTTAAAAAGTTTTGTCGGTTAGCGGACTGAAATCCCCCGGAGAAAGGGGGGGACTGTAATACTACTGACGTGATCTAGGAGGTCCCCCTACACCCAGAGGCCACAAAATAAAAAAAGGATGCTCAATTAGATTAGATTAAGATTTTCCCAGCGCAGATGCAAAAAGAAGAGAAATCAAGATTAGCTTCCGTCCATATGTACACGTCATACACATTACGTTGATTTATGAAATTTTTTCATGCAGAACGCGAGATTTTATCTACTTGTATTAGACCACGGCATTAAACCATTGTTATTTTTTATTGCAAATCGAAATAAAGCTCCTGCTCCAAATTTTTGGTCACGTCACAGGTAACGACCAAAATATAGAGATTTTTCAGATTTTTAATTTTGTGCCTTCAATTACTGATTAAATGTGGATTAGTTCTAAGCATACGAGCAATAAAGGCCGGTATTTATAGTCAGATCTTATATTTAAGACCGTCTTAAGTTCGTCTTGAGATATACCACTTATTTCATGAGCTATGAAATATCTGAAGTTGAACTTAAGACAGTAATAATATTAAATATAAGATCCCACTACAAATATCGCTCGAAGAGTGATGAAAGAAGCGACATTTTCTAGTCGAATAAAACCCATATTAATACGATGATAAAGTAGGGACCTATGATCGGTTTCAAGATTTCTACTATACCGACTTATGTAACGGCGTTATCAGCGACTGTCATTCACACCGTTTTCAAACACAACATACATGTATGCAAACATCATCATTCTTTTCATTTTAAAAAAGTGCTATTTGTAAAACTTATTAAATAACTATGTTTCATTATGATTTTGTTTTATAATTCATTTTTACAATTGATAACACAATTTAAAAAGCTAAATTTTTTTAGGCGCAAAATATACACTCAATGCAATGCATAATCATATCTTCTCATCGTTTAAATAATTATATTATTAATGAAAGAAATATAGATTATATATTCAATAGAGTTCTTTCTACATATAACTTACTAGCGAGTCTATTGAGATGCTCAATGAAATGTAAATTATAAAATGTAAATTGTAAATCATGAAATATAAATTATGCTTTAAATGATATAAGGAATAAAATTATCAAAATCTTTCATATATATATATATAAAGATACTTACTGTTTGGCCTATATGGATCTTGGTTTGAACAGCATCTACGACTCTCTCATATACTACAACTCGAGCCATGTTACTAGCAATACTTTTACCGATCCTGTAACATATTAAATAATACCAGATACTTTTAAAACTAGTTAAGGTCATTAACACAAATATTAACTACATGATTTAAAAGATAACTGCTTATTCCACTGACATAATTGCGTAGAAATGCACAGATGATACGTAGATAATACACAAATGACACGTAGATGACACATAGATAACGCGCAGACAATACATTAGACGTACAAAAGAAACATTTGCAACACACAAGCATATCCTTTAAATAGAAATTAATAACGTATCAAATATCAGTCGATATGCGAATTTTACTGCAATATAGTTCCAATCAATCTCCAGGGCAATCAATTTCCACTCTTAGAGCAAGAAAAATCGAATGTTATCGTTATTGATGTTGTATAGATTCATTCGTACACACGAAAACAACACGACGCACCGACATGTTAACCTAACGTTGGAGTAACGAAAGTCGACGACATCATACCTGAACGTGTGAGAACCATTAGAAAGAAAGGACAGTGGGTATCACGCCCCACGATATTTTGTAATCACTAACTACACTACAATCACACTTCCCAAACGACACTGATCGGTAAAAGCGAGCACAGGTTAACTGAGTCACCAATTGCGCAATTCACAGCTAACTTGAGAAGACAAGCGCATATCGCGCGTGACACCGAGCACAGCCACCAAGCGAAAGCCGTTGCACAAGATGGCGGCCTTACTAACAGCGTGTGCACTACGCCGTCTGTCGCTTGTGCCCAAGCTGTAATCGGAATGCGCCCGTGCGGCCATGTGGGGGAAATAGTCACGCGCTCAGTACAGCACATGGCCGCTCGCAGTTTGAGGCAAGACCGAAAGGTTCCGCACGCATGGCAAACTGTTGAGAAAATTCTTCATATTTGTATAATCCAACACGACTGTCAATCCTAACCGCATTCGCAATATTTTTATTAACGTATACGCGTGTGCGTACGACCAAGTGTTCAACAACGTCAGATTGTCGACTGAATACAAATATTAATGTTATTCCGTAAAAACTATCACACACGAATGGAAGAATACTTACGATGTTACTATCGTAGTCGATGTCGCAGCAACCAAGGACGATAGTCTACTGCGTGAACTCTCTTCGCAGAACCCTATTTATAGTTTTGCCCAATGTGGCAACACTGCGATCGCGTTACGTCATGTCCTGTTTGAAACCCCAACTTGGGAATAAACATCGAACTATAGAACATACTGGAACGAGCAGTAGTGTGGTGGGGGCCGTGACCTGTTAGCAGGCCTGTGACACGAAGACCATACCTAAGTATTATCTCGCTCTCTGTCTTACCAACATGCTATATAATCTATTGGCTAAGATGAGACAAAGGCGGACACAAAGAGACAGAGAGGGGGATACTATTTAGACACCGTCTCTCTCGGCATGAGGTCATCCGGCGGAAATAAAGGCGGTGCTCGTTTCAGTTTGTTATACAGTTCAATGGGGTCAAGACTATTCAGTACAGCATGGTTCTGTGTGATCATGTGAGGTGAGAACATGGAATGTTAGATTATAGCGTTTTTGATCGAGGGGAGTTAGGATCATTCCAAGATAATTCATATTGTTATTAATTCTGTTATAGATTATTAGCTCAAACTACCTTGGTTTGATCAAAGTTACACACATATTGTACCTTTGCTTTTAATTTCATCGATTTTTCTTATCACACTGGAATGATCACACCTCTGGCTCGTGTTTTGCACTCTCTTTTATCGATAAAAATTGCCTTAAACGTGGCCTAATCAAGTCGTCCCTAAGCCACTTTTATCGGTAAGGAAGAATTCAGAATATGGGCTTTTGTTTTTCAGCGATCTGGGCCTTGATCTTTGAAGATATGTGAAAACTATCACATATGATAGCTTGAGTCTTCTATTTCACATTGCAATGGTCTATACGGCACTTCAAAGCGCTCGCAGCATGAAATGCAGGACCCAAACTATCACGTGTGACATTTTTCACATATTTTCAAGAATCAGGACCCAAGGATATGTGAATGAGGTAGCAAAATTGTTCTCATGTAATGGCATTCTCGGTTTGCTGACTCGACCCGACTCGAGCAGCGTTTCAATAATCGCTTAGTTGTCAACTATAATATACGCAACATGTAATGCTTAATACTGCTACGATCGGAATACTGCCCGTGTCGAGACGAGTCGAGCAAAATCGAAAACGTCTTAACCATAACATAATTCAATATACTATCCATTCTGAAAACATTTACCCCCGCAAACATTTTTTTATACACCGGAAATTTTATAAAATTTACCGAATTTTATATTTCTGAAAGGGGAGGGAGAGGGACTTTTTTAATAAAAACATAAATAAATTGTCTCGAGCTCTGTCACCACCTTATACCATGTCGTGACATTTCTACGTGTGTAACACACGCACATACATGCACATATCATGCACAGACACGTACATTTAAGGAACTTTTGTCGATAAAAAGAAGTTCAAAATACGAACTAATATGTCTAGACCGAGCGTTTGCTTTCGTTTGAGGAGTGGGGGTCGAGGTGCGCGTAGAAAAGGATGCACTCTATTTCGTGTCTTTGCGTTCTCTCTCACTCACGTGGTCTATGCCAGGCATGTTCAACAGAGAAGAATCGATTACATATAATCAATTTTTGTGGGGGAACGTCGCCACACGATATGGGGCACCGATACGAATGAGCGAGGAGAGAAGTTGCTGAAATATTTGGTAGCGACCGACTTGGAGGTTCTGAATAGAGATAATGAATCGACTTTCCGCACGGCGGTGAGAAGGAAGGTGCTTGACCTCACTCTCTCTTTGCGGAGAGCGGTGCGTAAAATGGCAGGGTGGAGGGTCCCTGATGAGTTCTCACATTCTGACCATAGACTAATAACATTCAGGCTTTAGCTTCGGTTCTTAAAGCTGAACTCAGGAAGATGAGAAACCCGAAGAGGACGGCTTCGGGGTCCTACCGGAGCAACTTGGACAGCAGCTTTAGGAGTTTCCCAGAAGATACGGCGGAGCAGCTAGAGCTCTATGGATCTGCAGAAGGCTCTTATAGGTTCCTACGAAAAGAACAGTCCAGTTAGGACAGTTACGAATAGCCCATGGTGGAATCTGGGACTACAAGATCTCAAAGTCAAGGCTCACCGGATCTGAAACAGGGCAAGGAATACGGGCCGACCTTCTGACTGGAACCTCTATAGAGCGGCTCAAAAGGAATACAGAGACTCCGTGATTAGGGCTAAGAGGAAAAGCTGGCGAGGTTTTTGTGGATCAGTGGAAAACATACCTGCAACCACCAGACTGCAAGTTTTTATCAAGGAATCCACATTCCGTGCTGGAGGCGATTCGCTTACCAGACAGCTCTATGATGTCTGGTGAGCAGTGCCTAGTCCACCTGTTTGAAGACAGCTTTCCTAGCTTCCGAAGAGAAACGGGCGGGTACTGGGAAATTGGCAAACGCCTCCACAACGACCGTGCTGAGGATTGGAAGCTGGCGGCCGAAGTTGTGGGATTTGACAGGACCAGGTGGGCAGTCGGCTCCTACAAGCCTTTCGAGTCTGGTCCGGACCGGGTCTAATCTTTCCGGCTCCCCTTCGAAAGGGACTGGAACAGATAGTTAAGTCTCTCACGAAGCTACTCAGAACTTACGTGACCTTAGGATATACGAGTGTGGAAACTAGCGAGAGTGATGTTCATTCCTAAAACAGGAAGAACAAACCATATCTCGGCTAAGGACTTTAGACCGGTCAGCCTGATTTCATTTCTGCTCAAAACATTGGAGAAGTTGGCTGATGTCTACATAAAACACAAAGTGTTAGCGTAGAATCCTCTGCATTACAATTAACAATCGAGCCGGCTACTCTGGAGAAACGGCCTTCCGTTCAACCGTGCCGGTAATAGAGCGGGAGTTCCAGCGAGGAGGTTTCGTGATAGGAACTTTCCTGGATATCGAGGGTGCCTTTAATAACACTCCGCATCAAGTAATCTGCTCGAGGCGCATTGAAAAAGTTCGTGGAGTGGATTCGGGGAACCTCATTAGGAAGAGAGAATATGAAAGGTAGGGTGGAGAGAGGCTGCTCACAAGGTGGAGTCCTTTCTCCGCTCCTATGGTGCTTGGTAGTGGACAGGCTACTTAAAAAGCTTAATGATAGGTACTTCTATGCAATTGGATACGCCGACAATCTGGCAATCCTCATTAGAGGTCCCTTTCTTGAAACACTTCTTGAGCTGATGCAAAAGATTGTGGAGGTGGTTGAGGGGTGATGAAGAGAGACTGGCCTGTCGGTTAACCCGGAGGAAGATGAGTCTTGGCCTGGAGGAGGCTGCTGTTTGGCATTGAATCGCTTCATCTTACGGTAGTGGCGGCAACCGCTGCCTATCGGTTGAAATGCAAAGGTAAATGGAAAGTCGGAGCTATGCACACTCGGCTACTGAAGGAGATTTTGTCCGGGACTGTGTTCGACATGGGACAAGGCAGTGTTACGTCCTGGAAGAGGATGTACACAACAAACATCGCTTACTCGCGCACTAGCGAAGCCTAAACGTACTAGTAGGTCTGCAGATCAGGTCAAAGTCCGTAGAGGCCCATTTACTCCGATCACAGAACGTACGTTAGATGGTCCTTTATTTAGGTCAAAGAACTTAATCTCTTTACCTGGGATAGGACCATATGAGAGGGGAATTCAGATTTAAGTAATTGAAAGGAAATGAATGAATAATTTTAACAATTTGGTTAAATTTAGGGCATTTTGAATAAAACAGTTTATTAATTATGCTAATAACATAATTTGGTTCTCACATGGGTTAATAATAATGGTAAATTGATGAGAAAAGTCATTGTAAAAGATACAATATTTAAAAGATGAAAGAGTCAGCTAAAGTTAAACAGTGAGATATATGGGTTAACATTAAACAAACTTTTATAAATCAGCATTATTGAAATAATGCAAATACTAGATGAAGATTAAAGTAAGATTAAGAAAAAAAGTAATCCGTGTAACTTGATATAATATGATCGGATTTAACGTAACAAGAATGTTTAACGTATCGGTGTGGCAAGAAAAACATCATTATATAATACAGGGAAGATAATAATTACGCGGTGTATGTGTGTGTTTTAAAGAGTGAAGTGGGATTGGAGATTGGATTGAAACGATTAAAAGTCATGTTTAAATATGAAATAGAGACTTACGATTTAGGTGAATCAACTGTAGTGAATAGTACGTAGAACATGGGTTCGTTGATACTCAGCAGAAGAAAAAGAAGAAGAAAAATGACTGACTGGCTGGCTGACTGACTGGCTGACTGACTGTCTGACATTGACAGACTGACACTGATCGACTGACACTGAGTGGCTGACTACGGTTAAATCGAGCGATTCTGATACTCGGACTAATTATCAGAATATCGAAATGTATATCTTTAGAGAAATCCCGAGTTATCCACGAGTTTTACAAACAGGTGGCACCAGAGAGAAAGATCCCGAAAAAAGAAGCCGAAATGATAGGCGTGAGGTAAAAACGCGACAGAAATCGACAAAAAAGAGGTCTCTTAAAAAAAGGTGAGAGGGGCGTATATAGGGAAGATTTTGGGAGTGGCGGATCCCCAGTGAGAGGAGTTTTCGTGGAAACTGGAAACGGATATGGAAGATTAGGAAACGGATAAGACCACGGACGCGTTGAGAAACT